CATCAAATCTATTCTTTAGATGGTCACTAAATTCAGGAGAGATATCAAGGTCATATTTTGGCTCTTGTGGACTTGTTTTAACTGTCTTCAACTTCAGCTTGAAATGTATATGAGCAGTTGATGGTCTCTTCTACAGTCAGCTCCTGGCCTTGTTTTGGCTAAAGATATTGAGCTTCTCCATTGCCTCTTGCTACAGATGTAGTCAATCTAATTCCTGTACACTCCGTACACGTGAGGTCCACGTGTATAGCCACTGTTTGTGGTGTTGAAAAAAAGTATTTGCAATAAATTAAGTCATTGGTCTTGCAAAATTCTATCATACGATCTCCAGTGTCATTTCTATCACCAAAGCAAAATTTTCCATCTACCGGTGATTGTTTAGAACAGCATCCTAGATCTCATCTGCCCCCATTCTCTCCCCTTTACATGTAAAACTGATGATATTTACAAAGTATATTAACTTTTAGTCTGTTTTAATTGTATTTAGTAAAGTATTCACAAACTTTGGCACTTTATTATTGGTACCCAGTTGTCAGCTGATCTAGGCCCACTATGGGTGGAAAGCTCCTGACTTTGGGACATCTGATACAACTGTGGGACCTTATCTTAAACCCATCTACATTTTCTGCACTGCTGACAGGGATTCTCCTTCATTAAACAAATACGTGTTAATTACCTGGGAAAGCAAAAATAAATAAGGCTCAATTCTGCCCCATAAGGATGGAATCTAGCTGGGAGATAGACTCAGGTAAAGCTAACTGTTGTTATTGGGTACCATTGAGTCGTCTCCTACTCATAGCGGCCCTGTGTACAACAGAACAAAACACTGCCCAGTCTACAGTATTTTGAGGTACTATAGTGGTGCAAGGAACAATCTTGTAATGGGATTTGAGGAGGTTCTGCTTAATATATGATGTTGTTGTTGTTGTTGTTGTTATGTGCCGTTGAGTCGGCCCCGACTCATAGTGACCCCTCCTTGGGTTTCCGAGGCAGTATCACTACGGAAGTAGGATTGCCCAACCTTCCTTCCA